GCAATGGTAGTAACGATTCAGATACACAGCTTCTGAATATAAATTCTGAATCGAAATCCAGGCAAACATATAATATTCCACTGCATGCTTGATTGCATGTAGCTGCTACCCTAATGTCACTCATCAGATTATTACACTAGTTTAACTTTCTTTTAGATTTACTCACCTTTTATTAGGTAAGGATCCAGCATTTGTGCTTGTTCAAACTTCAGAATAGAGTTTTTATTATCTCCGGCTCTGAAATACAGGTCTGCTAAGCTCCCCAGTAAATCTACATTATCCCTCAGCAACGATTTTTTCTCTAAAGAGCTTTAAGAGAAAAAAAAGCCTGTTATTTATATAATGCCATTTAAAATATAATTATACATAAATATAAATACATTATTTGATGACAGCATGTTCTTTGAACTCTTACCAAATGGTATTTATCGCTCTTGTGTTATCTCCAGTATGCACAAAAGCATATGCCTTGATCCACACTGAAAGCCAATCCAGGTTAGGAATACTCTGAATTACGTTGATTGTCATAGAGGCCACTTCTGCACCTTTCACCGACAGCGAGAGCAAGCCTATTCAGAATGGTATATTCATCAATTTCAGCCACCATAAACTGCTTTTAATACAAATTAATTGTCTGAAGACCAGAAACTCCATCCCTTGACAAGCATAAACAAGCAGCTTGTTGCAATGCTTTTTATGATTTGCATAATGTTGGCATTACATACTACATGTAAATGCAAGACAGTTACCTAGTCCCAAGCATAATCCAAATTATAATACTGTTTAATACTGAAATACTAACAGTGTGCAGACACCTACCTAGTATGGCATCAAGCGCTAAAGGGCACTGCCTTAGTACTTCCTTGTAGCTCGTAACAGATGAGCGTTCTTGACCTGCTTTCTTGTATAGATTTGCCAACATCATATTGATCTACAAGCAATAGAAATGTTGGTAGAGTCAAGTATGAAAAGTTGATCTCTCCCTATCAATAGAGTCTTTAAGAGAATTAGCTTAGGGAGGCAGAGAAACTTTCCATTTAGCTTCTGAATGAAGTTACAACTGATAAAAGAACAGAAATTACTTGAGCTCTACATAACAGAAGTAGCTGGTTTCTGCTACAAAACTTTACCAGTGTTTATAGATAAAGTTTTCTTTTCCCAATCTTTTCTTCTTTTTCTGTTCCGTAAGTTAGTCTTTAAACAGAAGAGTTTGATGTTATTAGAGTCTAAGCCATGTATGCTGTTAGCACAATACAGGAATACCGTTAACATGAAATATAGTTGATTGACCTGATCTGTTAATCTTTTAAGCCCTTACGATGTAACAGAGCCAGCAAGCAAAGACTCAACACGTTTGGCACTGCAGACCACAATGGGATCCAAATATTTAACATTATCTAAATTCTTACGCAAAAGGATGAATTTAAAAGATGGAGCACTGGCATTCCTTCTACTTGCCAAAGTCTTCAGCCTTTCAAGGATCCTACGTTACTCAAACTACACAATAAGACATGAAGTGCTATTCCATACACATTCTGGGTTCAAGAATATATTAGAACACTTGCTCAGTTTGAGCAATCACAATTTAGCAAGTTATATTGACTGGCTGATAGTGAAAACACCACAGAACAGTCAACCTTGTCAGACGACAAGGCTACAAACCTCCCCTTCGGCTCTAACAGGTGACAGCATGCCCTTCCTGTAGACAGCTCTTCCACGGAGACTAGGACTCCACTTTGTGGTTATAGCCAGGCAAAGTACATTCATTTAAACAATTGTTTTGGCTCTCACATTCACATGTTTGACTGGATGATACAGATTCCAAGCCTTATGTATAGACAAACAAATACTTTACATGCTTTTAGAGTTAAAAAAAATAGCATTTCCTCATCCTTGCACACAAGTAAAATTCTGCCTGCCATGTGCATACTAAAGAGTTAACCAGGTAATTCACAAACATTTATAAAGATGCACATAACCATTTAACCCTTTTCACTTTTTTTTTTTAATTCTTTCCAACAGGGCAATACAAAATTTGTCTGATTTAAACAATAGGAAGCATTTCCAAACAACATTTAACCAATACAAAAGCAAATACCAAGACACAATGACATTATACCTCTAGGCTACACTCTTTTTTGACCAGATACTGACCTATAGATTCAAGATATGCTGACCAAGGACTTGTGACAAAAGCCTGCCAGAACTAACCTTAGGGGTCCTCTGTCTGGAAGGAATCCCATCAAGAATAGCAATGGCATCTTTATCTTGCTTCAGCATTGTGTAGCACTCAGCCATTTTATATTTCACTTCAATTTCAGATGGTAAACACTGAAATAAAAATCAAACTTTAAAGTACAATGCTGGTTTAGTCAAGTAAAAAAAATTAATAAGGTTTCCCCATTAAAGGCTTATACTATGTTGAAAAAACCTAGCACAACAAAGTTAACAATGCAACCTACTATCATATCGCTCCCATTTTCATATGAAAAGCATGAACCACACATACAAAAAACCCCTTCATGTGTGAGACCATATTAAGTTTTGCATTAGAAAACACCATACGAATTAGCCTTAAATGTCAGGTTTATTTCATATGATAAATCCACAATCTAATGTTGTACTATTGAGTCAGCAACGTTAACTGTAAGGGGGAACACGATCATTTTATGCAGCACATTAGTCAATTATTTAAATACCTGGCTTTGAGGAGTTGATGCAGTATTCCCAGTAGAAGGTCTTACTTTTGAAGTTTTACTTAAAGCTTTTTTCTGCTGCAAGGCCATTGTATACTTACTTACAGCATTTCTATATTCTTTATCATGGAAAAGAGAGTCTGCATGATATACAAGGAGCTGGTATTTCTGAGATGGTGAAAAGAGTTCCCTAGAAGAAATGCAAACAGAACAGCTGAGATCAGCTAACCGCATAAGATCGAAAACCTTACAGACCTCAAGTATTTGTAGCTTTGGTTAGTCTGGCTTCAGCTTTCAACTGCTGCTGCTGCTTTACTGAACTGGAAGGGCCCTTGGGTAACAGCTACTACCTACTCACAAAGGGATTATCTTGCCAATTTATTTTGTCTGTATACAAACAAATGTAATAGCCGCTCCCTCATAAGTAACATCAGCTTGTGTTTAGCTGCCTTGGCCATTGCTTTCCAAAATGGAGCAGCCCCCATCCTCTCTGTAACAAACCACATGTTGTCAACATCCATTGAAGTACATTTTGTTTGAATGGACTCAAGCTTACAAGGCAACCCAGCTCCTTGTATAGCTATTCTGGTCCTAATCCACATGTTCCTACATTTCACAAACCCCCTTCATAACACTTCCAGTATGTTTGCAGAAGTGCCATAAAGTTACAGTTTTAGAATGGGATTTTGGCTTCAATTAGTCCCCCCAAACCCATCCAAAACGTAAAACGATACCTTACAGGAAAGCCCTGAAAATGAAGGGAATCACTTGAGTCAGGGTAAGAGCCGTGACCTACACTGGGCACCCTTGGAAAGAGAAAACCGTTCCACCTCTACCAGGACGCTCATGTTGTACCGTGTACCCCAAGGGGTACAGGCTGAACCCCGGGCAGTGAGGCGCGCTGACTGAGCCGGGCTTCAGCCCCTGCAGGGCCGGGGATAGGAGCCCGGCGGGAGGGACAACTCTAAAAGCCGGCCTGCCTCCTTCCCTGCCCACAGGACACCCCCCCGCCACCCTGCGAGCTCCCGCCCGGTCTCTTCCTCAGCACCACCGGTCCTGTCAGCCCGCAGCCACCCGGCGCGCCCTCTCGCGGGAGGGCCACTCACGGGTTATTGCCGCTCATCGTGAGGAGAAGCCCGCTGAGGAGTCGCACGTTAGAGTGGAGC